CATTCTTTAAAGCAATTCAAAATATTTCGTATCAAATTCTAGAATACTATGCAACTTACCAAAATGAGGTTTATGAAAATGATGAAAAATAAGCAGCCGAAAACTGTCATGCATGTGCGAGAATGAAATGGAGCATGAAATGAGGAGATTAATTTCTCAGCAAAATACCACGTGTTTCCGAATAGTACGTCATGATTGTTCATTGGTATATGGTTGGTATCATTGTCATCAATATCGTGCATGATCGGTGTATTAAAACTTTGATTTAGCTCCTCAAACACCTAGCAAAATGTTAAGAAAAAAATTATAACTATTAATACGAACTCAGAAAAAGTAACAAAAAAAATTAGAGCAGGGTACTTCACATCAACGAACTGTGAAGTATCCTCCTCTTAGTAAACAATAAAAAGTAGTGGGACTGTTCGGCCTTAAATTCAATTTGCCTCATCACTAGAGGGCGCTATTATTCATGTTTTATTCTTTCTATTAATTTTGTTGTTTAGTGTGTGTGTGTAAAAAAGAGGATAAAAGTTAGATTTAGAAGCGCGTGCTGTTTCTTGTCTCGTCTCATCAGGGACCCCTTGAGTCTGGATTTCGTGAAGAGGAAAAGTGGATAAAAAGGTTTGAAAAACTTAATATCGCTATCTAGACAAATGAGATTTTGTTTTCCATGTATTTTTTTTTTCTATGCTTAATCGAATGAAACTGAATATGAGACACTAGGACTAATAATTTAAATGTTATAAAGATTTCATGCGGAAAAAATAGAAGGCAGTATTGTACCTTGGATCAATTTTAATTTTTCATGCTGAGGTTAATAATTTAAAGAACTCAGAAAAATTAATGGATCTTTTTGAGAAACTGTATACGTTTGTTTATAAATATTTTTATATTTTTTGTAACCCGAATTCCTCAGATTTCTTTTTTTTTTTTAAATTAGAAAAATCAGTCCAATGTACAACCATGTCATTGTATCTTGGATCCCATATGTTGTACTAGAACCATTGGATGTTACTCCTCGAATTATATTTATTTTGAGATCTTTTCCTTTAAACTTCAGGGTGCGCCTTAACCAAAGTTAAATAAAATGCTCTTACACCTAGAAAATTAGAAGAGATTCTGAATTTACAATGTTAACAGATAATAAAAATCAAAATAATCTGTGGCGAGATTTTTAAAAAAAATCCACTTTGAACATTTTTGCGCACGATTTTGGAAAATCTGGCGTTGTTTCATATCAAAAGAAAGGAAAGAAATGATATAATAATGATTTTTCAGTTGTAATTCTATTTAGCTTTTATTATTTAAACATTTTACTGCTGATAAAATATGAAAATGTAACATAATTTAATTGTAATTACATCAATTTAAACATGTGAAGCATTGTATCTACAAACAGCGCTCGAAAAGTGTTTAGAATAACCTGGGTGATTTGCAGCAACCTTATTAATTTCCCAGGAAGACTTTAAGAAATCAAAATATACGGACTCCATCGCCTTCTCCCAAAAAATTGCTAATCCTTCACCGATTTTGTCACAGAACTGCTCAATGTTAAAAAAAAATGCATGAACCTTTGGTGTAACGCTGACACCTAAGTCCATATAGCTCTTTTTGAAAGCTTCTATACATGCTTTGAAATTTTGGGTCAAGATTATTTCCGAAGCATGCAGAAACCACTTTTTTGAAGTCGTCAAATACTTTAACGTACTTCAGTATTGCTAGATTTTTAAACTGGTGCAGAAGTTCTTCTTTATCCAAAAGTGTTTTGCATGCATTTCCTTTAAATCCAGAACATCCTCGTCTGATTTCATGCTCAACGTGACAAGCTTTTGTCCATGTCAGCGATTCATTTTCACACTCTTTCAACATATGCGTGAAAACAGTGTTAACAACACCAAGCATAAGGTGTAATTCTGGAGGTGGAATAATGTCTTGGAATGCTTTGCCTCCAACAGTTGCAGTTAGAGGTGGATGAATGCAATTGAAATAATCTTTCGCTTTGTTTTTTGAACCTTTTCCTTCAGCCAACTTGTCAAAACGATGAAACATTTTTGGGGGATCTCAATCCACCACAGCTGCTTAGCTCATCTTTCTTGGCATAACAATAAGTGCATGGATATGCGCTGCTGCGCGACATTATACTTGCTAAGATATTCGCTAATTTCAAATCGGTTGCTAGTGCACTCGGAACGGTTGCTCGAATGAATAGTCGTTTAACTCCAGAATCCTTAAATTTCCTTACAGCTATCCCCTCATAATACTTAGCACACTTACCTCTGCACTCGAAGTTCAACTCATTTGATTGTACAGAAAGACATATTTTTAAAAATCCACCTCCTCCATCAATACCCATTTTTAAGTGAACATCCAGTACATCTCGTTTATTTTTCATATACTAAACAAAAGCAGGGACATCTTTGCAGTAAACTCCAAGCGCAGGAGCATCCGAGACTTCATCGCCTTTTATACAAACGAAAGGAAATTCTTTAAAATCAAAATAATCGTCGACAGAATGAGCTGTGATATTAAGTTTTGTTTTTTACCCTGGTTCAACTGCTTTTTTACTTCGTGTACACACACGAATGGAAGCTGCCATTTTTAGAGTCACAGTGCTTGTGTTAATTTCACAGTGCTTGTGTCGCTAATGACGATTTAAGTTTTTATTATTTTTGTTTTTTAAATAGTGGTTCATCGACTATAATTAACAATTTAAAAACTTCTAATAATTATAAACTTTATTATAAACGGTTATTATAAATATTTAATACAAATATGTCATTTTTTTCTTCTATTTATAAGTATAAAATGATGCTAACATTTTTGAAGTATCGTACTTCGTGAGCAAAAACGTTCAAAGTGGATTTTTTTTAAATCTCTCCACAGATTATTTTAATTTTTCGATTTTTATTATCAAAGAACATTGTAAATTCAGAATCTCTTCTAATTTTCTAGGTGTAAGAGCATTTTATTTAATTTTAGTTAAGGCGCAACGTGACTTGGTAGTCGATTAAATTTGTATAATCATGCAATAAAAACATATTTTTCAAGTAACCTGAGTAAGCAGAAATAAATCCAATTAGTCATAAAAGTTACACTAAACAATGTTTTATTGGAATATTAAAAAAGGTTTGCTAAGAACATCTACACGTCGTGGGGGTTCACAAGTTCTTAGGAAACTGTGCTGACTGGACCTGTTGGACACATTACACCGGTCAAAAGTGCAATACTGAAGTTGATTCAATACAAAGCAAGCATACTTATTTTTTGTACTGAATATTTTTTGTTTTTGAAATAAATTTTTGTTTTCCAGCCAGAAACAAAGATGACTGGGAATCGCTCATGGGGGTTGAAGAACGAAGCAAAGTTATTCTAATAGAAAAAATGTCATGAAAGGAAAAAAATTAGCTCTTAATCTACGATATAAATAGTTAAATGCAATAAGTTTTTTTTTTCCCGGAAAATTTTTCAAAAAAAATCCTTACATAAATTATTTTGTTTCCAATTAAAATTACTTTTATAAGCTAATATTATTTCGACTAAAAAAACATTAAAAGAAAATTATATTTAAATGCTCTCAAATACTTCGTCTGTTTGCTCTTCATTCAAGTGCGAAATGACTTTGGAACCATCTACAGTAGCTACGGATGCAACATCTCTTGATTTTAGAACTGGAAAAAATTATAATAATAATAAAATAACATTAGTTTTATTATATTATTACCAACATATCAAAAAAAATATTTTTTGTTAAGTTTTAATGCAAACAATGGAAGTTGTTTGTCACATTAAAAACTAAATTGATCAAATGATAAATAAAATGATTACAAATTATTTTTGTTATTTTTATTAACTTTCGTATCTGTAAGAGTTTGATGTTTGTATCGAAATTTCGACAACTTTCCGATTAGTTAGAGCGGTCATATCGTTACTGGAGCGTCTTGCGTAATAGCAATACAAGTTCCAACCGTTTTGCAATTTCTAAAAGTAGAATTTAACACTAAATTATTACGAATTAAAATGTAGCGCTTTCCGACCAGATAAAATGCTTACTGGAGCACTATATTAGCTGACAATACAAATTTCAATCGTTTCTTTATCATTACAAGCAGAATATATCGATGTATCATTACTAGCTAATTTATCAGTAATCAAAATTTCTACCACTTTCGGTCTAGTTACAGTATTTTAAACAAAACTGGATGACAATACAAGTTTCAATTGTATCTTCACCGACATAAACGAAACTTATCTCGCCATTTTATAGCAAGCCAAAATTTCGACAGCATACTATAAACAAACTAACAAATAATAAAATAAAATAAAAATTCTAAAAACTTCATATTTCAAGCTGACTAAATTTTACTTTATTTTATAACATGTCGTTGAAAAGCCAACCAAAAATTTTGGGTTTACGACTACTATTGTTCAACTCTGTAGCTTTGTAATTTTGAACCCAATCCAGAAGACAAGGGAACACCTAGATCAAGTATTGAGAGGAATTTGCCTTCGTGGAGAACTTTTGATTAAACTAACCAGCATTTGCGTTACTTGGAGAGGAAAACCACGAAAACACCCCATGGTTTGCACATGTAAAGTAAACGCATGTTAATTTCTCCTACTATATCAACAAGCAATAGCAGTACGGCAGATGGATTTCCAGAAGAGCAAGAAAAGATAAGAAAAGAAAGACTTTCTTTCCCTTTTTTTTAAATACGGGGTCTTGAAACATTTTATTTTATAGGGCAGTTTCATACAAGAATGAAATTACTTACAATCGTATACAACATCTAAGAGGCATTTCGGTTCTGTCATGAATACTGGCTGAATAGAAGATATTACTAATAGAAAGAGAGTAAAGCGATTTATTACAGATTTGCTTCCTCTCAGAATCATTTTAGTTGAGAAAGATTAGCACCAATAATTTTGGTCTAAATCTGACCATTAAAAAGAAAATTTTAAACAATTTTTCATATTGACTGAAAACTAATTGATTTTTCTTACATTAATCGGAAAGAATGGCTTATAGCTCACTTGGGAAAAATGCAAATGTCTATCTGCATGACTAATTAAAGTTGTTCAACTATTAATAATATTAGATGTAATTATTCAACCACATTCCGGGTAGAAAATATTGCTCAATTTTTAACTGAAGCCTGATGACAATACAAATAATATTTGTTTCCTAAATGTTGCAAGCAAAGTTAATCTCCTTTTTTTCTTTTTCTTATCGTAAACCGAAAAATTTCTACCCCTTTCAGATATTAAACTAAGAGCCACAATTTAAAAGAAAATATTATGTTAGTGAATAGGAAATTTAGGGGAATATATTAAACTGCATATCTTTTTTCAAAAGCTCTTTATTTCATCAAAATAAGCTCAGTTTACTTCAATGAAATGCTCCAAGCATAATTTTAATGTATAGATGCCTGTCTTAAAGTAGTTCTGATTTTTAGAATCAATAAATCCCGATATGTAATTTTTCAGATTGTCTCTCTTCTGATACGGTTTAGCCCGCAAAAACTGTTCTAAATGCTCGAGAAAAATGAAAGTCGGTTATCGAATAATCCGGTGAATAAGTTGGGAAAAGCCAAATTTCATCAAAAAATGGCTCTCGTTGAAAATCGGGTTAGTAATGAGCATACGTTTAAATAATCCAGCTTATTGCTCTTGGCATTATTTATAGTGCGATTTATTTTGTTGAGAAAAACCCACAGGCCAAAATTTTTTAAACCAAATTTGCACTTTTCGATCGTTAACAGTTATCTCCCCAAACAAGTGTAACGTTCAGTCGATGTGCGATTTAAAAAGCGTTAATCAATTGACGTTACTTGTCAAAATTTATGATTTTGTAAACTTTTGAGGTTTTTGTTAAAAACTTTTTCGGTAGTTGTGTTATGAATCGTGAAGGTACAGAACAGTCGCAATGTATGACATAAAAAGATAATTAGCATGTATTTTCTTTTCAAGTAATTCCATACAGTGAATATTAAATGTTCAGCAGTTGGTATTAATGTTCTGTAAATTAGATAACAGAATAAATACAGCTTGGTGCCCGTTTCCCTGTAGGCCGGTCTGAGCAAGCAAAATTATTTTTGGCGTCCAACTCCTAAGGATAACAATAATAAATAAACTGCTGTTTGTAGAAA